GACAAGGAACTTCTGGCTATAGTGTTTGATGTTCAAAAGTGGGAGCAGTATTTGGTTGGAGCTCACTTCATAATCAAAACTGACCAAAAAAAGCCTTAAATGGTTACTTCAGCAGAAAGTTTCAACTCCATTTCAGCTGTTCTGGTTGTCAAAATTGATGGGTTTTGACTATGAAATTCAGTATAAGTCTGGGAAGGAGAATGTGGCTGCTGATGCTCTATCTAGAGTTCAAGGTTCTGAGGTCTTGCTGATGGCTATTTCAGTTGTGGATTCAACCTTGGGAGCATTGATTGCTTCTAGCTACCAGTTGGATGATAATTATTTAGCTATTATTCAGCAACTGAAAAATCACATTGCAGTTCATGATTTCAAATGGGAGAATAATTTGCTGAAAAGAAAGGGTAAGATTGTGGTTGGACCTGATACTCAGTTGAGAAATAAAATACTTTCTTGGCACCATGATTCTCCAGAAAGTGGCCATGGTGGCAGGGAACTGACTTTGAAAAGAGTCAAGAGATTATTTTATTGGAAGGGACTTACTAAGGATGCTAGTGCTTTTGTGAGGAAATGTGTTATTTGTCAAGCATCTAAATATGACACCTCAGCCTACCCTGGTCATCTGCAACCTTTTCCAATTCCAGATGGGGTATGGATGGATATTTCTATGGATTTTATCACAGGTTTGCCTAAATCTAGTGGAAAGGATGTTATCTTTGTTATGGTGGACAGATTTAGTAAATATGCCCATTTTATGGCCTTGTCACATCCTTTTACAGCTATTCAAGTTGCACAAAGTTACTTGGATAATGTATTCAAGTTTCATGGGTGGCCTAGGACTATTGTCAGTGATAGAGACTCAGTTTTTCTCAGTCAGTTTTGGAAAGGTCTCTTTTCCTTGTATGGAACAGATCTTTTGCTTTCTACAACTTACCATCCTCGGACAGATGGTCAAACTGAGGTATTAATAGGTGTTTGGAAACATATTTGAGATGCATGACTGGTGATCAGCCTCAAGAGTGGCATTAGTGGTTGCCTTTGGCATAATGGTGGTATAATACTCACTTTCATTTTGCTTTGCAGCTTACCCCTTATGAGGTTGTGTATAATCAACCACCACCATTACATCTTCCTTACTTAGCTAGAGAAGTTAAGAATGATGAGGTTGATAGGAGTTTACAGAGAAGAGAAAGGATGATTTCAGAACTAAGTTTCAGTTGGAAAGGGCACAACATAGAATGAAGACTCAAGCTAATAAACATAGATCAGAAAGGGTTTTTCAGGTTGGAGATTGGGTATGGCTTAAACTTCAAGCTTACAGACAACATACTGTGCAAAGGAGAGACAACCATAAACTTTCACACCAGTATTATGGACCATTTCAGGTTGTGGCTTTAGTTGGAAAGGTTGCTTATAAGCTTAAACTTCCTGCTGAAGCAAAGATCCATGATACTTTTCATGTTTCTCAGCTTAAGGTGTTTAGAGGACATTTACCACTGGTTGCTCACATTCCACCTATTTTTCAAGGGCATAGTGTTGATTCTGATGACATTAAGCCAGCTGCCATTCTTGACAGGAAGATGGTTAAATTTCAAAATAAAGCTCAGGTTCAATATCTGGTGCATTGGGAGGGTTTTCCTTCATATGAGGCAACTTGGGAGCTAGCAGAGAATTTGGAGCAAAGGTTTCCAGAATTTTTTCTAGCTCAGACTTGAGGACAAGTCTTTCTGAAGGAGGGAATCTATGTTATGGCAGAATTATAGAGTATTGGTAAAAATAGGCAAAGTTGTTATAAAAAGTTGCTATTAGTGTTTTGTTCTGTTTTTAGTGGAGGAGTTTGTTATTAGTGGAAAAGTTAGTTAGCATGAGTTATTAGTGGAGAATTAGTTGGCTAGTTGAGTACACGTCATTTCCCACTTAGCTATAAATGTTGTAATAAGAGTTAGTTGAAACGGAATATCAATAACAACATTTTCTTTCCCTATTTCTTATCTCTCTCTTCTTCCTCTCTCTTCTTTCTCTCTCTAGACCCAGAAAATCCGCCATTGGAGAAGCTTTGAGCTTACTCCATTAACAGACATCAACAACAACACCAGCAATAACGACATCAACAACACCGGCAATAATGACATCAACAACACGCATCAACATCAACAACAAGTTTCATCTTTTTTGCCCTTTCTCTCTCTTTTCATGCTTAAAACAAAGGTTTTCGGGTCAAATTCGACCATGAAACTCTAGATCTAGAGTTTTTATTGTCGAATTTGGCCTCTTAAACCCAATTTCAAGGTTATGTGTGGTCGAATTAAGGTATGTAACTCATTTTTCAATTTTGATTTTATTTTGTTGGTTTATTGGAATTTTTTTACAATTTATGGTGGTGGAATGAAGGTGGTTGTTGTTGGAGTTTGGGTTTTGGTTGTAATGGTTAAGGATTTTAATTTTTTTTTGTTAATTTTTGGTGGTGACGGTGGTTTTCGGTGACCACTGGTGGTTTTTAGGGGGGTGGTGGGTGGTTTGCTTAGGTTGGGGGGTTTGGTTTAGGTGGGCTTGGGTTTGGGGAGTCTAATCGATGTGGGGCTGTTGTTGTGAGGTGGTGGTACAGGTTAGGATGGGTGTTGTACGGTGGTGCTACGGGTCAGGTGGGCTGGTGTGGGGCTGGTACTGTGCAGTGGTGGTATGGATTAGGTGGGTGATAACACGATATTATACACGATTTATATGTGATATTTGGTCATGTTTTATTGTGTTTTCTTCATTCTCCTAATATTTTTGAGCTATTATTCTTTCTATTTCGATAATACTCTTCTCGGTTTGTTTGTTTTTGTTTTTATAGGAATAGGCTTGATTTGCGTGGAATTTATTTTAATCGCGAGATATTTCTTTATATGGAGCGTTTCTAGCACCAATGGAGCATCAATGAAGCATTTAGGCAGCCTACTCCACAGCTTGGTTGTGGCGTGCAACCTTATGGCCACAACCTGGTTGTGGGCGTCCATTATTGGAGCAAAGCAGAGGCGAAGACAGCCCGCTCCACAACCTGGTTGTGGCGGTTTTCTTCGTGCCACAACCTACCTGTGGCAGCTTGTTTCGGTGGCGTTTGAGAGTCCTATTTAGATAAAAATATCTACTTTTATGCTAGGATATAAATAGGTTTTAGATAATCTTTTATTTATCACTTTATCACTTTTTCAGATATTTTTTTTAGACTTCTTTTTGGGTATTAAGTTCTTCCATATTATTTTCTAGGGTTTTGCTTTCAAGATTCAAGATTTCATAATTAATTCCAAGTATTGATTTCTTCTTTCAATTCTCTATTTTATTATTGTTAATTATGTTTTCTTTATTGATTATTAATATTCTTGATTTCATTAATATGTGTGATTAGTTTCCCAATTCCAAGATCTAGCGGAACCCGAATATGATTAATGCTTGATTTAATTCTTTAAATTCTCTAATGATAATTGCAATTGATATGTTTAATTGATTGTGCTCATGCCAATACTATATTAGGGATAACTGGTATTGTTATTAATCCATTGTTTTAATCGCAACGGGAGTTTGGTTTTGACGGGTTTGAATAAATCAATTAAGGGTTTGAAGTTCATCACGAGAGTAGATGAATGGATGATTAGGAAGTTAGAGTAATGTGCTCAAGGTCTTTAATTTAAATGATTCCACGGAAGTAGGCTTGATTGTGATTAGAGAAGCCATTGATAACTCGGGAGAGACCATTGGTACTATTTAGGGATTACTTTTCCTCTTTAATAAATTGAATTATATGTTAGGGGTAGAACTATTATTGCATTAATTGTATTCGTGGTAATGTTTGATCTTGGATGTTTTTAGTATTTGATTATCATTTTATTTAGTTTAATCGTCGCTTTTGATATTTAGTTATTAATTCTCAATTATTTGATTTGGTTATTGCTTAGTATACACTTGAGTCTATTTAATTATTTGAACCATAATCTCTTGGGATCCGACCCTTGCTTGCCCGTCTACATAGTAGTGGTCTAGTTAGGTTTATTTTCGTTAGGTACGCGACACGCCTATCAAATTTTGGCGCCGTTTCCGGGGACTAATTGTTTCATTCTAGTTATTTGTGATTCGTTTTTACTAAGCATATATTTTGTTGCTTCAACTATTGTTCCTTGTGTCTTTGATATCTCGTTTTAGTTTCTTTGTTGCATGCAAACTCGAAGTTCAGGTTCAGATGATTTAACACCTTTTGATTCTGAGATCGAAGCTACTACAAGAAGATGAAGAGGTAGAAGGAGGAAAAATCAAATTACAAGAAACATGGTCGACCCAGGAACAAAATCTCTTTTGGAGTATGGTATTCCGGATATAACAACCGGATTCCTCTCCGGTGTTGTTAGACCACCTGTCACTGCTCAGAGTTTCGAGTTGAAGCCCCAATTAATACAGTTCATCTCCAATGATTCTTTTGCGGGCTCACCGAATGATTGTCCTGTGACTCATATTGATAGTTTCTTGGAGAAGTGTGACACCATGAGGTTCAATGGTGTCACTGATGATACTATTAGACTACGACTTTTCCCTTTTTCACTACGGGATAAAGCCAGGGAGTGGTTACGAGATGAAGGTATTGGTTCTTTTGATACGTGGGACAAGCTTGCTAAGGCCTTTCTAGTCAAATTCTTGGGGCAAGAGAAAGCCGCAAAATTAAGGAACGAGCTATCTACTTTCCATCAATCTAATGACGAATCCCTATATGAGGCATGGAGAAGATTTAAGAGATTGCAGAGACAATGCCCTCATCATGGCATTCCAGAGTGGAAGTTGATCCAAACGTTCTATAACGGTTTGACCCATGAGTTTCGCATATACATTGACACTGCGTTCGGAGGTTCTATCATGACGAAGAACCCAACCGATGCGAAGGATTTGATTGAGAAGATGGCGGCTAATGATAATTACCATTCAAGAGGACGAAATGCTATCAACATAGGTAATAAACATGATGTGATGCTCTAACCATGTTGACTAGTTTTGTGCAGGCACTAACTCATAAAGTCAATCAACTCCAAGCTGAGTCCCCTCGAGCCCTGATGGAAACTTGTCAGATGTGTGGATTGCAAGGCCATACTGCGCGGGAGTTTCAACCCAATTATGATGGAATGACGATTGATCAAGCTAATGCTTTTTATACCATGACCTCCACAAGGCCATTTGATGAAGGGTGGAGAAATCATCAAGGTTTCTCATATATGAACAATCAGGCTCAAGTGAATCCTCCACCACCACCCGTTTTTCAAGCACGGGCACCTATCAATCATCAATCCATGCGCCAACCACTACCTCAATCTTCAAATCTTGAACCCATTATGGAGACTTTTGCTACCTCCCAACGTCAACAACAAGAGCTTATATTAAAGCAATTTGAGTTACAAGCAAAGCAAAATGAATATTTTGAAAACTCGATTCAATTGCTTGTTACTCAAAATAAGAGGATAGAAACTTATCTTTCTCAACTTTCACAGCAAGTGAGTCATCTTACAACTCTTCAAGATCAAGCAAAAGTCCAGACAAAGCAATGCAATGCAATTTTCGTGAAGAGTGATGAATTGTTTACGGGAGGATTAGAAGAGAAAGTGTGCAATGTGGAGTCAAGAACAGAGAAGCATGAGAGAGAAGGTCCCAAATATGTTGCTCCACAAGCATATGAGGAGCCGATGCCTTTCCCGCAAAGGTTATCAAAAGCCGTGCTCGATAAGCATTTTGGGATGTATTCTGAGACTCTTAAGAAGGTATATGATACCATTCCTTTTTCCGATCTTGTAATTCAAATGCCTCAATTTGCAAATTTTGTGAAAGGAATTCTAGATCATGATCATAATGATAAGAAATTAGAATGTTTGGTAGTAAAGGAGAAATGTCGTGATCTTATACATGATAGCTTATGTAGACACCCATTTGTGTCTCCCCAAAACCAAACCCAGTGATGAGTGCCTTTCACGTCGAATCATAATCGAATGAAACGAAAGTGTGGAAAGGTCTAGTGTTACGGAAAGTTTTATTTCTTTTCTCTTCTTCCTGTTTTTGAAAACTTTATTTTAAGAAAACAGACAATATAGTTTGGTTGGTCCATGATATAGGTCCAACAATGGTGTAGTTGGATGGGGCTTGCAAAGACCTTTCCAACGATATATTATAAGCCCAATTCCGATGAATATTGAGGAAATTATGGCCAATTTACTGAATTGGGTCCGGTTTGAGCTTTATGTACGGCCCAATGATCTAGGGGAGGGCCTAATATAATTTATCATTCCTAATGTAATTAGGAATAGTTTTAGTCTTCTAGAACATTCTAGAAGGTCTTATCATTCCTAATTCAATTAGGACTCTTCAGAGTTTTAATCAAGATCAAATAGCATTTTCGATTGAAATTATATTATTTTATCTTCCAGTACGGGAAATTTATCGGATTTTTGAAAACGCGTTAAAAATCAATTTGGCGTCCAACCCCAGGCCTTGGCACCTGGAACCAGGATTGGCGCCAGGCGCTAGCCACTGGTCCTGGCGCCAATTAGCCAGGGCTGGCGCCAATGTGTTTTTGGGATCTTCAGACTCTGTTTTGTTAAATTATCTTTTTTGGATGATTTTCTCTATAAATATCGTATCAAAAACTCCGTTTTCATTCATCAAGATTCATCAACAAGCATCATCTATCATCAACTCTCCTCATTCACAAATTATTCATCAATTAGCATTCATCTACAGTCAAATAATTCTTTTCATTCATCTCATTCATCAATTTTCATTAATATTCATTCTTTCCTTCTTTGATTCTTTATTTCTTTTCAATACAAAATACCGCATTCATCAATCTTGATACACCTAGCCATATTCGAAGTTGCCTTCGCCCTAGACGTGAAAGGTTTTAATTTCTGAGGGTTTGGTCCCAAATCTCTCTTTCAATTATTTAATTTAATTGTTTTGATTATTATTTTCCTTGAAGTTACTAACGTGTGTATTTTGTTATTAGAAAGAGGTATGAGGCATCCAAGTAAGTACTTTATTGATTAATTGATATTATGATGTAGAATTCATGCTTAGATTGTTATTTTGATTCCTAGTATCATGTCTAGGGTAACTTTAATATTAAGTATGATTAAAAGTATGATGCTTCCTATATTCTTCCTAATATTTATTCATGTTAGTATCATGTTAGGGCTAAAGCTTTGATTTTTATTGCTTAGTGACATGCTAGGGTTTGTTATTAATCTTGCTAGTATCATGCCTAGGATCTTGCTATGCTTTAACATGATTATGATTGATTATTATTATTATTATTATTATTATTATTATTATTATTATCATGATTATTTATTATGTTGCTTGATGTGCATATTATTTTATTTTTATTGCTTGATCACCTTTTATTGCATGTTTAAAGGGAATTGGTACTTGCAATCACGTTTAATAAGATATTTAATAATCTTGTTAGGTTAATTGTGATTATAATTCAAGTGATCGCCAATAATAGTTTATTTGTGCATTAATATTCAACCAACATAGATTAAACAGGTTTAGGGTTAATCCTATTGATTGCATGTTAGTTAGAAAGCGCACATGAATACGATCAGAATAAAGTAGAGGCCTATTACTAGGGCAGCTTCAATCTCTTTTAGGTTGGATTTGTACCTTCATCCCCGAACCCTTATTTAGTTCATGACCTTATGGAGTTGACGATCTCTTGGATCGTTAAGGGGTGTAACCTTCACCTCGTGAATGGTTTACAAGTTCCTTAAAAACTTATTGGCGACTCTTTTGCTCTATCTTCTTCCCTTTTGGACGCCACCGTACTTTAGTGTATGATAACAGTGGGGTTCAAGCTAGTGGGATTTAAAGGCTTGAAACTATTCCCTACAGCTTACCACCTAAATTGCATGATCCTGGTAGTTTTACTATCCCTTGTATGATAAACGAAACATATTTTGATAGGGTCTTGTGTGATCTGGGTGCTAGTGTTAACTTAATTCCTTCTTCAGTATATGACAAATTAGGTTTGAAAAACCTTAAAACCTCTCCTATATCTCTTCATACGGCTGATAGAACTGTTAGACTCCCTAAGGGTGTAGTTGAAGATCTATTAGTTGGGATTGGTGAACTGGTTTTTCCTGTTGACTTTGTTTTAGTGGATATGAAAGAAGACCATAAGATCCCACTTATCTTTGGTCGCCCTTTTCTTGCTACAAGTCAATCTTTAATAGATGTTCCTCAAGGACAAGTGACCATTAGAGCTCAGGATAAGCAAGTTGTGTTTAATCTTTTCAATGACCATAATTTCACTTTTGATGGTGGTACTTGTTTGAGAATTGATGCTACTAACCCTTTGGTTGATAAGTGTGTTTCTAATAGATATCTTGTGAGCAAAAATGACTATATTCCACCGCATGATGGGTTTAGCTACATCAAAATGAGTTCGAATACAAATTATATCAACTCTAGTTTGAAGGAGTCATATACATGTGAACACAATTACAGACAAGACCGTAGAGAATCCTCTCTGCGTGGTGGTGATCCAGGTTGAGCTACAAAAGGAGGTCGAGCTTATGACCTTAAAAACAAGCGCTTTTTGGGAGGCAACCCAACTTTCTAACTCTTAATTTAGCTTTTTTTTTTTAGTTAGCTTTTTTATTATTCTCTCAATATATATATATATATATATATATATATATATATATATATATATATATATATTCGTGTCGCTACTATTCCATTGCTTCTTGTAGGAGACTCGTTGGAATAACTAAGGCGGTTTGGTTTGAGGAATTGTTACAATTTGGAACTTCTTGGCTAAAAATTTTAAATTGAGGATTTGGCACGAATTCGATTCGATGCATTATATTAATTACTCGAGCCCTCCTCGTCTACCTCCGCCATAATGCTTTGTGAGTACTTTTTCCCCTATTTTATTTATTCATGACATATTGTTGCACTGTGGACATTGCAAATTTTAAGTGTGGGTGAGGGTTTTATTATCCCAATGAATGATAAATCATGCTTCTCTATGCCCTATATCTCTGTGCCCCGTACTAAAAAAAAAATTATTTTGATCATTGGTATATGATGATGAGTATTGTGGATAAGTTGCCATGATTTGATATTTAATTGCTTTGATGCTTTAACATGCGTCAATTTTGTCCAACTGCTTGTGAATATAGTGATTGACTAGTTGATTTGGTGAGGAATGTGTGTTAGTTCCTAGTATGTCAATGAATTTGAGTATTGGTTTGCAACTATGAGTAGTGTTTCATGACTCACTATTATTTACATTGAGGAGGACGAAGGCGTTGTTATCTTAGGTAGCCTTCAGATGAATTTAGATACAGTTTTTCCCTTCTTGCTACCCATGTTGTTGCCTTGACTTTTTATCGTTTATTTGGCCACATTACAAGTCTATTTGAGTCCCATTGGTTACTAGTCCCAAGCTTGGCTTGGGGGAGCTATTAGTTGGTGAGGTGAGGGAGTTGTGGTGTGCATATTATTTGCACAATGTGGGAATAAAAGATGAGTAATTTGTTCCTTGATTATTGTGATTGGAAAAAAATGTTGACAATATGTGTTTTAAAGTTGAAAAATTCCATTGTGAGATGTAAAAGAAAAAAAAAAGAGTAAAAGGAAAAAAAAATTGTTTCAATGTTCAAGTGTAATAGTTGAAGGTTGCTCAAGGAAAAAAAAATTCAAAAGAAAAAAGAATGAGTTCAAAGTTTGTTTATTCACTCAAATTCTATATCATTATATTTTTATGAGTGATTTATTGTAAGAGTTGAAAAATATTATTGTTATGATTGGAGTTGTATTTGGTGAATTTTTGGTGGAGTTGAGTATGTTGGAGATGTTTGGTCATTACTTGTTTTTGACCTTCGGTTTTATTAGGATATGGCTCTCTTAAGCATAACTTTGCTCTCACTTTTTCCAAATATTTTCCTACCCTTTACCCTAGCCTTACATTACAAGCTTTAAAGACCTTCTAACCTTTGTGCATAGAGTTGTGTGAATGTGAGATTAGTTGTTTATCAATGCGAAGAATGATTTGACATATTTTGAGTTGACTATTTAAGTTGAGTGCTATTCTCTTTAAACACATGAGTGTTGTTAGTTTGGGAGGGCATTGTTCACATGACGGGGTTGGGATGGAGAGCGATCGAGTACATCTTTTACTCGCCACATAAATGAGAGTCGAGTGTGTGAGCACTAGTCTTGAATTCTATATGCTCTTGTGGTTTGCTCTATTTGACAATTGTTAGGGAGGATGAGTGATTGGATGGTTGAGTTTGGTTGATTTTGAAGCATATTTGTTAGATTTACCATGAATTGGTTATTCTTGATTTTGATTATTTTTAGGGTGAAGTATTGATTTATTTATTGGTTGCTTTACTCGAGGACGAGCAAAGGTTTAGCTTGGGGGAATTTGATAACACGATATTATACACGATTTATATGTGATATTTGGTCATGTTTTATTGTGTTTTCTTCATTCTCCTAATCTTTTTGAGCTATTATTCTTTCTATTTCGATACTACTCTTCTCGGTTTGTTTGTTTTTGTTTTTATAGGAATAGGGCTCGATTTGCGTGGAATTTATTTTAATCGCGAGATATTTCTTTATATGGAGCGTTTCTAGCACCAATGGAGCATCAATGAAGCATTTAGGCAGCCTACTCCACAGCTTGGTTGTGGCGTGCAACCTTATGGCCACAACCTGGTTGTGGGCGTCCATTATTGGAGCAAAGCAGAGGCGAAGACAGCCCGCTCCACAGCCTGGTTGTGGCGGTTTTCTTCGTGCCACAACCTACCTGTGGCAGCTCTTTTCGGTGGCGTTTGAGAGTCCTATTTAGATAAAAATATCTACTTTTATGCTAGGATATAAATAGGTTTTAGATAATCTTTTATTTATCACTTTATCACTTTTTCAGATATTATTTTTAGACTTCTTTTTGGGTATTACGTTCTTCCATATTATTTTCTAGGGTTTTGCTTTCAAGATTCAAGATTTCATAATTAATTCCAAGTATTGATTTCTTCTCTCAATTCTCTATTTTATTATTGTTAATTATGTTTTATTTATTGATTATTAATATTCTTGATTTCATTAATATGTGTGAGTAGTTTCCCTATTCCAAGATCTTGCGGAACCCGAATATGATTAATGCTTGATTTAATTCTTTAAATTCTCTAATGATAATTGCAATTGATATGTTTAATTGATTGTGCTCATGCCAATACTATATTAGGGATAACTGGTATTGTTATTAATCCATTGTTTTAACCGCAACGGGAGTTGGGTTTTGACGGGTTTGAATAAATCAATTAAGGGTTTGAAGTTCATCACGAGAGTAGTTGAATGGATGATTAGGAAGTTAGAGTAATGTGCTCAAGGTCTTTAATTTACATGATTCCACGGAAGTAGGCTTGATTGTGATTAGAGAAGCCATTGATAACTCGGGAGAGACCATTGGTACTATTTAGGGATTACTTTTCCTCTTTAATAAATTGAATTATATGTTAGGGGTAGAACTATTATTGCATTAATTGTATTCGTGGTAATGTTTGATCTTGGATGTTTTTAGTATTTGATTATCATTTTATTTAGTTTAATCGTCGCTTTTGATATTTAGTTATTAATTCTCAATTATTTGATTTGGTTATTGCTTAGTATTCACTTGAGTCTATTTAATTATTTGAACCATAATCTCTTGGGATCCGACCCTTGCTTGCCCGTCTACATAGTAGTGGTCTAGTTAGGTTTATTTTTGTTAGGTACGCGACACGCCTATCAGTAGGCTGGGGAGTATTCCGCCGGAAATTTCCGACAGACATTCCAGGCCCGAAAACCTCTTCAGACAGACTGATTTCCGTCGGAAATTTCGTCGGAAAAGTGGTTCCGACGAAATTTCTGTCTGAAAAGTGTGTTTTCCGACAAGTTATATTGCGACAACCAGTTCCGGCTAGAAAACGGGGTGTTTCTGACGGAAAATTTCCGTCGTAATTCAGCTGTTTTCTAGTAGTGTTTTGGTTTCTGAGCACAAGTTAGACTAGCATATAGTAGTATTGTAGTTAATAGCTTGTATTTGTTCATGACTTGGTATACCGTTCTGCATAATTCCTTGGTATAAAAATTGAAAGTCAAGGGTTAAGATCTTCAAACCTTGTGATTTTTGAGTTATATGTCAAACTCAGACTTTTCACCTTGAAAACCCTTATCTGAAATTTTTGTTCCTTTGTATGATTGCCCTTCATATTCAAATTTATCCAATGATACTGACCTTTACGTGGATTTAATTTATTTGAAACTATTGGCCCTTATCAGAAATAATCTGTAAATTAATTTTGACATACACCTTGAAACAATTAACATCTGCCTCAAAATAGTAAAGGAATTAAGGAATTCCCTTAAAAGAAATCTGCCTATAGCTAACTTAGTGACATGTTGATCTGAACATCCGTTTACTCATCTGTTTTTGTCACTTTGTTATCATCTTCTCATCACTAATCAAAGTAAGGTCATATTAGGATATGCAATCATAAAACCAATAACTATGTTAGGGAAAGTATAGTTGGTCTTGGTATCGTTCCATTTGGCTCCATGCCGGCCTCTGTACCTGTCCTTTCTACTTTAGAACGAAATATGCTTTAAACTTCAAACCATGTCCTTAAGGTCTTCTAAAATCAAATTTCCCTTTCAATATAAGACAGGTGCAATATACGGTATGACAACAGCCTAAAGGGTTTCATTCCTTGCAAAAACATGCATGTTGTTTATCTTCATTCCATTCGATTCATCACACTTTTCTCCATAGGATATATAAAAATGAAGGCAGGATCACTTTAGCTGCTAAAGGACACTATACATGCATGTGGATGTGTTGTTTTAAGGGTCTGTTCTCATACGTTTATTTTCAGTTCAGTTCAGCTCAGTTCAATTCAATTTAGTTCAGTTTAGCTCCTAATTTACTTCTCTTATAAAACATTCAGTTCAGTTCAGCTAAGTTCAGTCAATGAGAACAAATCCTAAGTACTATTCCCTATTTTCTTGATTTTTTATGACAAATACTCCTACTAAAGAGATGAATCTTGAGCCTTGATATTTCTTATGTTGGACAAGCAGATAATATGGTAGCTCACCTCATGGCGAAGAGGGGTTACTTACTCATGGTAGTTCAAAGTTTTTTTAATGGACTCCTTCCTTCAAAGACTTGTGGCTTTGGCATATCGTGATATAAATAAATAAAAAGCTCGCTCTCCTTTCTGCTCACTTGAAAACAAAAACCCATAACTTCATCTAAAAAGGGTTTGTTCTCGATCTTTAGATTATTTTCAGTTCAGTACAATTTTTAATTTCCTTCTCTCATAAAAAATATTCAATTTAGTTCAGTTCAATTCAGTTCAGCTCCAATAAATTCAGTTCAGTTTAATTCAATTCAGCTCTAATAAATTCAGTTCAGTTCAATTCAATTCAATCAATCAAAACGGCCCAAAGTGGGTTTAATTTGAATTAAACGGACCAAATCAAACAATAAGTTAATCA